ATGAATTAGTTATCCAATCTTATCTATTCTTATGTATGAGTTCCTTATTCGTCATTTTATATGTTATTAATGCATGCATCAATATCATATGTTTTAACAAGGCAAGACATTCAGCTTTAATGTGGTTTTTTCAACATTTATTTGTTTTGTAATAACCTGGTATTTTGAAACAAATTTAAAAATAACAATTTTAAATTTTATGGTTAAACCGGAGTGCTATGGCGCTAGACTTGTGAGCGTAGTTGCACCATAAGTTATTGGCACAGCATTGAAAGGTCTATTATACAATAAATACTTAAATGCTATATTTTTTTACTAGATAAAAATTTTATGGTAACTTAAATTCTAAATAATTAATTAATTTGAGTCAGCTCGCGAGCCGACAAGTCAATTTTTAATAAGCTCGAACCCGAGCTCGTTTAATATTTAAGCTCGAGTTTGAGCTCCAGCTCGAGCTCGTGGCTCGATAAGCTCAACTTGTGAGCTCGTTAATTAACGAGTTGAGTTGGAATTTATTCACAAACCCGCTCAACTCATTTACACCCCTACCATGGGGAGATTAATGTAGAGTTTCACGTGTAGCTTTTGGTTGGGAAAGGGCAGTGCAAAACAGAGACTGTGTCACGCCCCGAGATCTAAAGTGAAAGAATTTATGTTCTTTCTTCTTTAATATTTATTCAATTTATATTTCTTTTATCATTCATTTAATAATAAAGCACATAAACATCAAGATCATTTTGACATTGAGAGCTGATTAATTACATTAAAAAATAATAAATAACATAAAATATAATTCACATTATTATAGTAGTCAATATTAATATTTTATCAGTAGAGTCCAAAATAATATATACAATAGTCTTCATAGATTACAAAAAAATATAAATAAATCAGATGAACCAAAAGAAATCTAAAACATCATTACAACTAAGCTTTACTCCACAAGCTACTTACATTTACGTGAAATCATATAAAATCAAGTCATGAGTGAATAGCCCAACAAGTAACTAAAATAATAAAATTAAAATCAATGCAAGGTAAAAGTGAAACAATATGCTTTAAATTATATAAGAAAATCTATAAATCAACAGATATGCTATATGTATCAGTCACATGTATCAATCAATAATTTTGTATTTATCATACAATCATATCATTAATCATCTTCGTCAATCCTTCAATTATATATTAGTATAAATATCTATATTCGGTAATGATAAGTAGTCATTATAAATTAGTATCAATATCTGTATTTAATAATTTTAAGTTGTAATAGTAATATGTATTCATATTCAGTAATCAGCAATTATAATTAGTATTAGTTTAGTAATCAATATTCTATCAAATATTCAATTCAGGATATCTTATATTTTGATCCTCCACTTATGACCACCAGTCAGTCATCCCTTATAATTCTCAATTAATGAACTCCTTATAACACTCATTGAATCATGTGACAGTCACCCCGACTCTTTATAACTTTCAATCAATCTCCAGCTCCTTGTGACTCATATCCATGACTCACAATCAATAGACCACATGAATATTGAGGATATCACATGATGTTATTATATTTATATATCTGATATCAATTAGTACATCATATTCATACATCACATCAAATTCAAACTAGTAACAATATTAAATTCTTGTATAACTTAATCCCATCAATTATTTCAATACATATTACCTTGCAGTATTATCATGTTAAATCATAGCACGACACTTATCAACATATTTTCAATTATGACGACTTTTTTCCTACTAACTTTACATAAAATTTTTTATACATATACTTAAGCAATGAATATACAATAAAATCATATCAAATCATCTCGAATGATCAAATTTAAAACATATCAAAAGTTATGCAGGGAAAGCTTACGAAATTAGGAGATAATTATTTTTTGGCAGATTTAGGAGAGATAAATCCGTAGAAATTAAAATCATCTAAAACATAAATAAGAGGATAGTTGCTTACAACGATTATAACATTTTTTACAATAGAAACGATGGACAAAAATTACCAAAAACTAGATTCTATCTCCTTTCCCTCTCCTCCTCTCCCTTCTCCCTTCTACCTTTCGTCCCAAGTAAGTCATAGTCGAAACGAGAGAGATGGCGGCGCCAAAATATTTTAATGTTTAGATTTAGAATAAAAATAAAAATAAATATTGTTAGTGACCTAGCGCCACAGTGCTCACAAACATATCGCTAAAGAGCTCTAGTTTAAACAGAAATTCAAACATTCATATTTTAAAATACTTTCCATCCTCAGGTTATTACACTGTGAGAGGAGAGGAGCCTAGCTGGTTGGAGGAGAAAGCAAATGCATGGGAGATAATGAGCTTTGGAGGAGTTCAAGTGGGTGTATGAGGGTAGCTGGGGGAGGGGAAGAGCATCGGGATAAGCTGAACAGTATAACTCTAATTAATTTTATATTGAAATAAATTAGATTTGAATATTAATCAAAATTTAATTATCATAAATTAAAAATGTTAGAATTATTCTAAAATAAATGCATGTAATATAAGTTCAAAATTTTTTACTATGAAATACAATTAGAAAGTATTGAATGGACAATATTTTAAACTTACTCAAGCATATTAAAAAAAAAAATTTTGTGGTAGTATATAAAAAATTTAATTTGCATCCCACTAAAAATATTTTTGGCTCCCCCACTTGCCAAAAGAATAGGATCACACTAAGAATAAACTTAGCCAAAAGAGCATGATTAAATCAAGAATATATTCCAGCTAAAGAGCATGACTATATTAAGGGGGAAAAAAAAAAGTTAAAGAGCCTGACAATATCAACAGAAGAATTAGTCAAAAGAGTATTATTAGAAGCTAAAAAATAGGAATAAAAGAAGATAACACAATCAAAAGAGCATGTTTAATATCAGAGCCCTTCATTGGGTACCCATATCCACACCCACCCACATACCCACCCATACCCAATGGGCATGAGTGGGTATGGGTACGCCCATAGCCTCATGGGTGGGTATGGGTGGGTACTCAACAGCAGAGGAGACCCAATTTATATTATTAATCATCATATAATGCAGTATATTATAATAATCCTTACTACACAGTGCGCAACACTGAATCGCATCACGGCCATGATAAATTTTTATATGTGGCTTGAAAGTTTGCAGTCAGAGAAAATTACAAAAAATCTCAAGGCCAGTATTCTATGGCAGACTGCATTCAATAAACTTGGCAAAGTGGGTGGGTATGACATCCGGAAAGTCATCATATGTGGGTGCAGTGGGCAAGCAAAGCCCGCCAGGACAGAGTGTGGGTACCCAATGGGTACCCAATCAGGACCCCATGTAGGACTCTGATGTTTATGCTAGAAAGATACCTAACCAAGGGAATTGAAATGTGCACAAGAGCTTAATGAGCTAGGGGGGATGTTAAGGAGGGTGGCAATGTCTTTATTGAAACATATACAAAATTCAACACTAACCACTTGCTCATTTATATTGATGAACATACTTGTTGCGTCTTGGAGTATTTGCGGCGGTAGAGAAATATGAAGTTTAACTTCTCAGTTTTATACGAAGATCCAACACGCACACATATAAAAGAGAGAGAGTGCAGTATTTAACGAGACACCAATATTTTTGAATGAAAATTTTAATTTTTAAAATTTCCAACTTGATTTTGCTTCGAGATTCATGTCCAATCAAGATAGTTTTTTGATGATACATCAATACTAGTTTATCGTTTAACAATTAGCACATTGAGAAGATTAAATTCTCATTTAACATATTCAATTTTTTTTATTTGATGATTTATTTTATATTATTGTATCAAGTTTTCTATAATTTATATGTTTTATAAATTATGTATACTATTAGATGTATATGCATGATAAAAATATATTTAAATAATTTCTTCGTTACGATTTGAACGTCATCAAACAACTTAAATAACAACATAAAAATTATGGTAATTTATTAAATAAATTATTAATCTAATTATATCGATTAATTAGAATATATGCTTATGTGCTTAATTGCAAATATATAATTAGTTAAGCTTAATTAGCAAATATATAATTAGTTAAACTTAATTTAAGTTTGATTTTGACTCAAACTCAGTAATAAAACATTAATTAAAATTTTTTTTTTTAGTTTAGGACATTTTTAAATTTGATTTTTATTTAATAAGAAAATAAATAAATTAGAACTTCATTTGGCTCTATTTTTTATAATTATGAGTTTTACTAGAGAGAGTAAAAAAGTAAAAGTAAAAATAAAAGGGTAGGGCTTAGGGGCTACTTGGATGCGGTGGCTGGCGGCAATCGAGGGGCCAACGACAGTCAGGGTGGCTGGTGACGATAGGTAAGGGGTGACGGAGGCGGTGGCCGTTGGTGATAATAAGAATGAGTTTCCGACGTATTTTAAAATCACTCAAGTTTAAAGAATTTTAAATATAATGAAATTGAATATCTTTTACTTCAAATTTTAATTTTACATTTTTTTATTGAAAATTAAACATCAATATCTTTAAAATCACTTGGGCTTCATTTGGTTTATTTTCCCTTGCGGTATCAAAAACATCAATAACAGAAAAGGCTTTTTTTTTAACTGAAAAAGCTAATATATAGGCTTTGTTTGTTTGAGCGTTTTTTCGCCTTTTTCGTTTTTGGAAACGGAGAAATTTTTTTGTGTTGTTTGGTTCGTCAAATCACGTTTCCAATAACTCATTTTTTTTATTTTTCTGCAGTTTTGAGAAAGCTTTTTATATATACTTCTCCGTTGGAAAACTCCATTTTCTGAACTAATGTTTTTTAAAACTGTCTTTTATAAAAGCACCAAAAAAACAAACGAATCCATAATGCTTCTCAAAATAATAGAGAAATGGAGTTTTAAAAAAAGTTTGGCCCACGTCCAAACAAGTTTCACAACTACGTTTTCCTTTCCAAACTGATAAAAAAGAGGAAAAACGTTGAAACAAACGAGCCCTTGAAATACTTTAAAAAACACTTTTGTTCCGAACCAAACAGCCCTTAATTTCTCTAATACGGCATTAATCCCGAACGCAAACCCTCAGTTCCGCTCCGCGCGTGCATCGCCGCACTATATATCTGCCGCCCTCCACTTGTCACGCTCGCCGCGCCCGCCGCTCACACGCCTCTAAGGCTCTACCTGCGGCCACGCTCGAATTTGCTCACTCACTGCGGCCACCGCACTTACAGGCCGATCCACATTCTCCATCAACCAACGCCAAGACATGTCCTCTCTCCAATCCTTCGTCGCCGTCTCCACTTCTTCGGCGAATGATCTCCGCCATCTTTTCCGATTAAACAGTCAAAAGGCGCCGCCGGGTACCCAACCTTACCTTCCCCGCATTTCCTGCTGTTTTGTTTCCGAAGATACGCAAAAATCTGCTCCCTCGATATCTACGGGGAACCGGCTGCTATCTGCTAAGAGCGAAGATCTAATCGAGCGAGAAAAGAGGGTTTTGGTGGGGACTTACGCTAGGGCTCCTGTCGTTCTCGTAAGAGGCAAAGGCTGCAAGTTGTATGACGTCGATGGTATGGAGTATGTGGATATGACGGCCGGAATTGCGGTTAACTCGCTTGGTTATGGTGATGGTGAATGGGTGAAGGCGGTCGCGGAACAGGCTAAAAGCCTTGCACATGTCAGTAATGTGTATTATTCAGAACCCCAGGTGATTGTTTTCGCTGTTAAATTTGATTTTGAAATTGGCGTGATTTTAGGGGCATAAAACAACAAATTTTTGGCCTTTTTTTTATATTTGTTTCTGCAAGCAAGTTTTTTGATGCTATATCTCGATTTGTTTTATTAACAACTTAGGCTGTGGAAACTGTATTTTGATTCTTTTCTGAGTAATCTCTTTTGATGATTCAAGGTTGTGCTTTCCCTTGTTCTTGGACGAAGTTTAAATTCCTCGGAGATTCTGTTTAGAACCTGTTGATAAGGTATAGTTAGATTGTGTTTAGTTTGGCGGAATTAGGCCGAAAGGAAATATTTTTACCCCATAATTACATCTTGACTGTTTGGTTTGGGTATAATTTAGAGGAAATTGATTAATTCCATGAAATTAGAACATATTACATATTTATCTTTATTGTTTTCTTCTTAATCCCAGTCAACAGTTGAAGTAAAACTGAGAAGTTAAGAACATTAGGATGTGTTCATTCTTCAATTTATTGTTTATTTCTTACAACCGAACAAAAAAGAGAAATTACTTTTCTACTCAATTTATTCTAAACCAAACAAGCAGATGAAAACTAATTTCAATTCAATTCCTTTTCTATTTCCATTTCCATTTCTGTTTAATTTCCTTCCTTTCGATTCATCCAAATAAGCTGAGCCGTAGTCTATTGGTTTCTTGTTGTTTAGGATTCTATTTTTCTGGGTTGAACATTGCACACCGATTGCTAAGTTTATTGATTTACCAATAGGCTGATATTTGTTCTACAATTTCGTAAATTCTCAAGTTTTTGTAAATATTTAATATGCTTTTTTGGAGGATCAGATGAAGCTTGATTTGCTAGTTGGTATAATTTCCAATGCTCTAGTACTTTGTGATAACTAGCGATAACTAAAGAAGCACCGGAGTACATCTCTCAGGATTGTTTGTTTATTACAGGAAGTGAAAACAGTGAATGAAAGTGCGGCCTTCTTATTTTCTTGCTGCTTACACAAAATAAAATCATTGAAAACTTGTAGTTCCCTAACCCCTACTTCTAAAACTTTCACTTTCTTCAAAGTTTAAGGCTTTATTTGGGGCGGCTTTCTTACTGTTTCTTAAAGCCGATTTCTAGTACAAAAATTTTATTAGAAAGGTGCTTTAAGAAGAAGTAAGAAAGCCGTCTCAAACGAGGCCTAAGTTGGAGTTTACATTGAAAGATGGATTGATAATCGTCATATTTTTGGCTTGTCACATGCTCATGTCAAAGAAAATGAGCAAGCCTGCCTTGAACTGAGCTCATATATAAATGTATTATATTATTTATATATGTTTGTGTAATTTACATAATACATATAGAGACAATTTGGTATGTAATTATGTTTGTAAGTGTGTACGTATATCAATGTGATTTCATGCATTTATGTACCTATACATGCAAGTCATATTTATATATTTCCGTATATAGGTTTGGCAATTTATTTGACCCAAAGTTTGAAAATCATTTAAATTTATACTTGGATCAATCTCAACAAAAAATTGTGGGTCTAGGGGATTGGATTGAGACCGTCACCAACCATATTTGGCTTGGTTCAAGATTGAATCAAGTTTTTTTGTTAATCTGATCTTAAACAGGGTTGGGTCAGCTCAAGATCGGATATTTTACAACCCTAAGCAAATATAAGAGAAATTCATACTTACTTGGTGGATGGGAATGAATGGATATTGCTTTATTTTTTTCTCTTTTTTGGGGAATTCATACTTCCTTGGCTAATACTTTATAAGATTTTTTAATTGTGAAGAATTGTTGTCTTGTTTTCCTTTAACAACAAAGGAATGATTTATTTTCGATTTTCTAGGGAATTCCCACTTTCAGCTAGAGTAAACTATCCTTTTTGCAGTGAGTTGAACCTTTGAACTCTGCTTAGGAGGGTGAAGGCACCACCACTCGACCAAGTGGTTAGTAGTGATAGTAGACTATTTTTCTAGAAAAACCAAACATACCTTGGAGAAGCACAAATACTTTGTGCACCATTGCAAATAACTGTAGAGGTTTTTGTTGCTTTATGCAGTATACTGGTTTCTCTTAAAATCAAAGCTTGTGAAGGGCAAATTCATGATCTCTACATGTTCTGAAATGCAATGAATACCCATTTATAAATACATGCCCAATGTGAATACTGAAAAAATTTGATTACCTAACTTCCATGTTCACAAAAGTAATGTGTCATTTTCTAATTTCTGTGCCATGGAAATATTAATTTTTTCTCCTAATTTTGGAATGTTTGTTCCTAGTTAGTGCATATGAAAGGAATGCAAACTCTTTTTTTAGCTTTTGCATCTAGGGGCTATTTGGATACATGATTTAATAGGATTTGAGTTAAATCTTGCCAAACACAAAAAAAAAACCTCAAATATCATGGTAAGTTAAATCTTGATTTTATGTTGTTTTCACATTTTTGTCATAAATCCCGGATCTATTAAATCTGATAGTTCGGGGAATTTACGGTATTTAGCCAAAGATGTGCCCAAAAGGGGTGAAAGATTGTTACCTTCATGGCGAACTCCACTCCCATTGTGACCTTCGATCCAACAGGAACAACGTCATCGAAGTAGATGAAGAAGCTTCCTTTAGCGGCACTTTCAAAATTCTACTTCATGCGAGGTAGGCAAAAGAAGCAACAACAAAGAAATGGAGAAGAGGAAATTCAAACCCAAGATAGGCTTAGGCTATAGAAAGAGCACCCAAAGAGAATATAAATTATAGAAATGTAAAGGCAATTACAGTCTACTTCATTTTTGCTCCTATCAATTTTTCTTAGTTTTTACTTTATTTTTTCCTTTACAGATTATAACAATAGTAAATCATATGGGAAAGAGAACCAACCATTGCATGATAAGGAAATTCAATTTATATGGTCGATTTTGAAGTCTTCATTTAGAGATTAGAAGTCAACTACAATTTTTTTGGTGTTTCATTAGTTTAACATTTTAATGTTTAATAATTAATTATAGTATTAATATATAATAAGTATAATTTAATTAATCTGATTAGGAATACAGTGTAACTAGTAAATAAATAATTAGTTAGGTTAATTTATATTTATAATTAAACTAGATTCTAATCATATTAGTTATACTTGTTAAATATTGATTGTAATTAAAATTGGAGTTAATAATTAACTCATAAATAACTTAAAAGTATAATCAAGGCTAGTTAAAATTTTGATAAGATTTAATTTTAATCCTTAAATTTTAGTAGCTTTAGTCAATACTTGAGCATGCTATAATTAAACTAACATTTAGGCAACAAAAACAAAAACAAAATTCAAAAAGTTAATCCTTAACAGCTTAAGCATGTTATAATTAAAAACACAAATTATATTTGTATTCAGTGAACAAACCTCCTTAAATCCTGAGTTGCGTTACCAAATAGTTTCTTAAGATTTATCAGAATTTAACATTTTTCTTTTCAAACAGTTTTCAAGATTTACTAATTCTGGATTTAATCTACTGAATCATACTTTGAGTGAAATCCTACTTGAATCCAAACAGCCTATATGTTCTGAGCTTTATTCCCCTCCTATAGACGACTTATTGAAGCCTATATGTTCTGTGGATTGTGTGGGCAGGTCATACTTGCAGAACACTTGGTAGAGTGCTCCTTTGCAGATCGCGTTTTCTTTACAAATTCTGGGACAGAAGCAAATGAAGCAGCCATAAAGTTTGCCAGGAAATTCCAGAGAGTCTCATGTGATAGTGACACACATGCCACAGAGTTCGTTTCTTTCAGTAATAGTTTTCATGGGCGGACAATGGGTGCACTTGCTCTAACCAGTAAAGAAAATTATAGGCTACCATTTGAGCCTGTCATGCCTGGAGTCAAATTTGTTAAGTATGGAGACATTGATGGCGCCAAGAAAGCAATAGTGTCTGGTAAAACAGCTGCAGTTTTTGTGGAGCCTATCCAGGGTGAGGGTGGAATACATAGTGCTACTAAAGAATTTCTGCAGACATTGCGTATTGCTTGTGATGATGCTGGAGCTCTCCTGATTTTTGATGAGGTAGGCACATACTACTTCGACCACCACAAGCAGTATATTTTTAATGTTTAGGTTTCTCACATATGCTTTTGTTCTTATTATTTCATATTTTTTTATACCAATATTCATTTCCATGCATATGGTTCTTGATTTCTGGGACATTCGACTGTGCGGACATCTCTCTTTACGAAGTTCCGCACATCATCTAGAGCGTTATATGACAAAAAATTCCTTTTTGGCTAAGTTATTTCAAATGATTTTTTGGGGTTGCTTGGCATGGATATGGGTAATGTTGTGGAAAATAAAGGAGAAGTTAGCGACTATTTTTTTCAAGCTTTGTATTTTGAAGTTATTTAATTGAACTGCTTATTAGAATGAAAGTTGTTCCTAAGGAGAGATTATTCTGTGCGGACACCGGACGGGAGAACCGTCCGGTACCGCTTGGTACCGAGCGCGGTACACTTTTGGGGTGATGTGACGCATTTTTATTGATATCTGGACGACGTCCGGACTCCGCACAGAATAATTTCTCGTTCCTAAGATACTAGGTATGGTGCATTTCTGGGTGGTTCAGGAATCCCTCTACTTTGTACTTAACTATATCATCCTTCTCCTTTGAGTTCATCCTCCTGTAGAGTGTAGCCTTTGTAATTGCACGAGTAAGCTTCATTTAGTCATCTTATATAGTATGTAATCTACTAGTTCTCATATAATAAAACATATTGCCAGTTCTTTCTCTTCTCAGCTGTGTTCTTTGAAAATTAGCATGAACTGGAAGGGCCAACTTCATGATTCTATTTAAGTAGGTAATAATAAATTGCTCATGTGTTAACTTGATACCATTTGGTGAATGCATCTAATCGCCTAGCATAAGCATTAGCTTTATAAATTAAAAAATGTTTAGTATGCGGCTTCATCAAAAAAGCTTGAAGTGAAAGGGTAGACGAAAATGCTCTTCATTCTTTTTCACCTTTCAGCTGTCTTACTTCACTGTGATTACCACCATTAATCACAACTAAAACCGGTGTTGGCTACCGAATGTGTTAAAGCTTGACGTTCTTGTTAAGACATATGAGTATTGGTTTAGTCTCACATTGGATTATTGAAAAATATATTTCTATAGCAATAGTAGTAGTTAGTTCTTCCATGGTCTTGAACTTTTGGATTGAGAATGAATTTGATTGCTATTGTATTTTGGGTAGTTAAATTTGATTGCTTATGCGAGCTATTTTTGCTCGGATTAACTCTTATAACTTGACCGCTACATAGAATGACTTGGCACAATCAACTTGAACTCGAGATGCACCGCATCTTAATATGAAGTTTGAATCCGCTACTTGAGTAACCTCTTTGCTACAACAACAAGCCTTTATCCCAGTATGTGAGGTCGGCTACATGAATCCGTTTTCTTTATTGTGTCCTGTTAAGAGTCAAATTCTCATATAAATCTAATAAAGAAAACCAAGTCTTTTTAGGTCTACCTCTTTGCTAATTCATAAAAATCATCTAAATTGAAATGAAGCTTGAGAACTGAAGTGTTGAAAGCTAGACAAGAGAGGGGAAGTGAGAGATCCGTGAGGCCAACGTTTTTAGAATTAGAATAGACATTTAACCATTAGAACATGTTCAAGGCTTGAAGTTTCATCTAATATCTAACTTTTTGGTTACTTATTGACATTTATTTATGCTGGTTATTTTATTGCTAGATAATAAGTTTTTTGCATGGAACTGGTCCAAAATGCTGAGGATTGTCTGCCCATATCAAGCCACTTATTGAATGTTTGACCAAATGGTATGCAAATAAAGAAAAAAATGAGCATGATTGCAAATTGAACAAATTCATGAAATATTGGGTCATAAAGCTCCTTTATAGTTAGGTACCCCATGCTTGTAAGGAAGCAAAACGTAATCCATGCACTGCATAAATCGCATCCAGATAGCTTCCTAACTAGTGAAAGAACCTGTTTAAATTCTGTTCGGCTAAGATAACGAGAAAATAGGAGATCATTTGCTATTAAACATTGCAGCATAAGAGTTGTATTTTCCTAATCCATGGCTCCTTACTGCTTTGAAACGTTTCAACAGATCCGCAAAACAACTCGGACAATTAATGTCTGGCACTTGTTATTTCTGGTAAATAACAGTGAAGTTAATAACCTTACGAAGGATAGACCTTTCATTCCTTAAAACTGGTTCTTTGGATTAGCTTTTTCATCACAGTTTTTCTACCGAGTGAAGTTTCTCCCTTTCATGTTTAAGAGCATCTCCAATCGAACGCCAAACATACGTATGGCGTCGTTCGGTCGTTCCAGCGGAACTCCAAATCTTACCCTATTTGCTTGCGGGTGAGCAATGCGACGCCAATATCGGCATTGCACCATTCACCAACGCGATTTTTCTATTTCAACCGGATTTGCCAAAGAAATGAAACAAAGATGGTTACCTTACCCACAAAATAGGGTTCGATTGGAGATGAATCACTTCATTTCAGAGTGGAAAATGATATTTTCGGTTGGAGATGCTCTAAAGACCAAAGACATTATTTTGTAGCAATAAAGTATACCAGGATTTTTTCTCTTACTGTCTATCTTCCATTCACTTCCATATTCACAGATGACTAAATCAAAGTTCTATATCAAATATTCAGGTTCAGTGCGGACTCGGCCGAACAGGGTATCTTTGGGCACATGAACCCTACGGCATTGTTCCTGACATAATGACCCTAGCCAAGCCTCTCGCTGGAGGTCTCCCCATTGGTGTTGCTCTCACAACTGAAAAAGTTGCTTCTGCAATAAACTATGGTGACCATGGTAGCACTTTTGCCGGCAGCCCCCTTGTTTGCCATGCAGCCCTCACAGTTCTGAAGAGGATCAAGGATCCTGGCTTCTTGTCTGCTGTGACCAAGAAGGGCCTTTACTTCAAAGAACTACTCACTCACAAGCTGGGAGCTAACTCCCATGTGAAGGAAGTGCGTGGGCTCGGCCTTATCGTTGGCATCGACTTAGATGTGCTTGCGTCGCCATTAGTGGATGCCTGTAGGGCGTTGGGACTTCTGGTACTAACAGCTGGGAAAGGTAATGTAGTAAGGTTAGTTCCACCATTGATCATATCTGAAGAGGAGCTGAAACAAGCAGCTGATATTATTGAAAGATGTTTGCCAGCACTTGATGCTGATGGTGTTCATTAAGGATCAGAATTGGAGGTTTCAGCAATTATGTTATTTGTATCAGTAGTAGTGGCAGAACTTGGACTTGTTAGCTTTCTTCTGTGTTGGTGTGATTTGAATTATTTATCTTGTTGAAATTTGAGGGGGGGAATAAAGGACTTGAGTTAATATGCTATCTATCCTGTTTTTTTTGTGGTCATTCATGCAATCTTTTATATCCAGGAGCTTAGCTTCTTAATCAAATGCGATGTTTAGATAATTATAATTAATTATACAAATTTTATTGATAAAATGTTGAAATTAAATTCATTTAACCAAATGAGTTTTAAAAAGTATTTGATTTTCTGTAGAAATTACCAATAATCTCTGTTAATCAAATTGTGAACAAATTAAATACTCTGATAAAACTTTTTATATTCATATGGATAGATAATTAAACAAAATTTGAATGTGATTTTTGATGTTTGATACATAAATCAGTACAAATTTAACATGGATTTGTTTGTTAATTCTTTTTTTCCCTTATTAATTTATTAGAACATTAATTAAGAAAATAAACAAAAAAAAAAAAAAGTAAATCACTATTAAAAATCATACTCATTATTATTCCATTTCAAATTTTTTTTTCTTTCAAGAAATTTTTTATTAAACAACTATTTTATAAAGCAGTAAGAAAATTGTTCGAAATAAAATCTAAGTAACTTAAAATATTAAAATTCATTTATTTATGAAAATTACTAAATATGTTCAATTATATTCTCTTTGCAAACAGTTGTAATTATATTCAAGTAAGAATTTTCTTATGAAATGACACAAATCTAAAATAGCTTTCATGTCCCTCATAGCTTAAAAAAATCACATAAGATCATTCATGTTCATATAACAATATGCTACCAGTGCTATGATATAAATGAAAGAATTAAACAAAAAAAAATAGCATCTAAGAAATACTTACAAATAGTAAGATTATTGCATTATAAACAGAATGTACAGTAACAGAAGAAACCAATTTGCCACTCCAAGAGTAGACAGATCCAAGAACACAACCAATAATGAAGAGCTGAAGAGAGTTCTCAAAGGAAAAATGGGCTAAACTGAAAGCAAAGGAACTGATACCGATTGCTTGCCAGAATTTCCTTCCGGATGCTATAGAAGTTAACAGAAAGCCCCGATAAACAGTTTCTTCAAGCAATGGAGTTACAAAGCAGTAGAGAAGGAAGCAAGTTGACTTAGAGATCGGGCTATACAGAAGAATCTCCTTCAAAATTGGATTGTCGATATCCTGCACAGAATGAAAGCAAATGATTTCAGTGTCAGGAAGAATTTTATCAAATGGAGCAGTTGTTAAGAGGTCTCTACAGGTTTTTGGGCATTAACATCAATGCATGTATTTGTTTTTCTTCTTATAATTTCATGTGTTTTACTTCAATCTTATGAGTTCTTCAAGTGCATAAAATACAATCAGATCTAAGTAATTGGTCAAGATGTCAGTTTTTTTAGTCAAAATGTCAGGTTAATGCTACATTAATGCACAAAAAAAGGTACTAAGCAATTCTGAATGAAAATGAATGTGCAGCTTCAATAACAGGAAAGAACAATGTTAGGATTTTTTTTACTCGAATTTCTTTGGGCATTTTCTCGGTCACATCCATAACAATTTGTAAAACTAACCATCTCATCACCGTTAGTCAAATCAACAACAATCGAAATTGTGAAGAGATTTTGTCGAGTAATAGTGCAGATATTTTCAGAGCAATATTTAAGATCACTAACAATCAATGATGTGGCTAGATGTTAGACCAGTCCAATTTGAATTAGGGGATTCAATTAAATATTGCTTTGGGAGAGAACAACTCAATTAAATATTATTTTGAGAGGGACTCAAATTAAATAATGCTTTGGGAGTGAACAACCCAATTAAATATTATTTTGAGAGAGAATAACTCAAATAAATATTGCTTTGGGAGGGACTCAATTAAATATTGATTTGAGAGGGAACAACTCAATTAAATATTATTTTGGGAGGAAAATTTTGAATTAGGGCCTGTTTAGAAATTTTGTAATCTTCTTTGCTTTTTTTTATAACAAAATAAAATTCATTGAATAATAAAATGAAGGGTACAACAACAAATGACCAACAACCCAAAATACATAACAATGAAATCCCAAAAAAAAAAAAAAACAAACAAAATAGGAAAAGCAAAGGAAGGGGACTCAGGAACGGAGGCCCCCAGCACCATCCTCATAGCCAAACACGGACCAACCGTAGGTGACAAAATACAATCGCAATCCAAAAACTAAAGCCGAGACACCCAGGTTGCCAGCCAGCTCAGCCAATAAGGGGCATTAGGGACCTCCTCATCATCATCCAACAAATCATAAAAATGCACCAACTTAATCGCAGAGCCAAAACAGAAAACCAATTACTTTCTGCCTTTTCTTTTTTGCTTATTTTCATTCACATTAAGAGCACCACGCATAGCAGAACGGTCCTTCTCAAATTCATGGTACTCAGATTCTTCTCCATTAGAAGGAGAAGAATAATCCTCTAGAATCAACCAGTCATTTTGAACTAAAACAGAGTTTTTCACAGACTTAGCCACCTGTGCTTTCATTTCCACATTAGACATTACCGAAATAGAGATATTAACCAAATTGACATTGCCCTCCAATCCATCATAGGAGGAGACAACATCAGGATTCACGGAACACCCAGGTGATGGCAGACCACAAGCAGATACAATACAAATAGGGAAACGGAAGAAGCAGATTGCTCAGCGACCACACCAGGCAATTCAGCCATGGCCAAACCGCACGGGACAGACACCGCACAAGACAAAACAGGTTTAAAATTCACATCACAATTCATTACACCAACATCACTAACATATAAACGTGGGGCATGGGCAACAAGAACATCCCCTACCACAACAGAGTCCATCTGGGCTAAATTAGGAATAAAAACAGCAGGTGAACCCAAATTCTCCGAAGGACCAAAATTAACGGCCATTGCATTATTCGAAGAATTATCCACAACAAGAGATAACACAATAGTGGTAGGGGGAGAAGAAGAAATTAACATAGAATTATCCAAACCCTTGATAGAAGCCTTATTAGGACTGTCCCCCTCCAGACCAAAAGCAATCCCCGCAACAGGTTCAACAAGCACAACACACACGCCTTCGCCAATTGCGGATGCAAAACCAAACACTCCACATTGGAGTGACCCAAGCCTTTGCATGCAAACAATAAGACAGAACATCTTCCAAAACAACCGACTGAACATACCCCAGATTATCCGGGCCAACCCAAATATTCTCTAGAAAAAGTTTCGAAACATTCAAATCAATCAAAACACGAGCAACAAAGGGCCTAGAACCAACAGAGGTGGCCTAATCAATTTTGAGAGGGCGGCCAAAAATTGAATCGAGACCCTGAAGGATCCTAGGAGAGAACAAATGGGGCCACAAATTCGCGAAAGACACCCAAATAGGGACAATAGGGCATTCAACATCCACATCAAACGAAGGCGACCACTTGATCAACCACATATAACAATTGTTAATAAAATAGGAACGATGCGCAAATACACGCCAGTAATCCAAATCGTTCGCTAATTTAATCAAGACATTCTTAGCATTGAGCACAGTAACAGAAAAATCGCCATTGAGTTTAAGATTGAAAAAAAAAATTCCTAATAGCATCAAGGGAAGGCCGGTGGGATGGAAACTTCCCAACCAACGCGAATTCAAACGGTGCGCCTAGAGAAAGAACCTCAGCCTAAAAAATCCACAAGGAAGGCATCCAACGATGAGTAGAAATCTTCAAATCAAGGAAAGAAGAAATGTTACTTGAAAAAGCATCTCTAAAAGACTTAGAAGATGAGTTACTCGCAAGAAAACCGGCATCGACCAACTTCGAACCAGCCATCGAAAACAACATACAAAAACACAGAAAAGGAACAAGGAAGGCACAAGATGAGAGGGAAAATCACTTCCCTGACCGAAGAGGAGGTGGCGGGAGGCGCGAACACAACAGGAAAATCGAAATCGCCACGGGAGGGTGCTTTAAATAATTTCTCTTGTAAGGGTTAGGATTTCATCTTGAATTTGACCAAAATTTGAGATCTCTTAGGTTTGGGTTTTTTTTAGGCTCTAGCGGGGTCTAGAGATTTGGGAGAGATAGATCCTCCTCTCGAATAGAGGATCAATTGTATCTTGATTTATTTCTTTCGTTAGTTTGAGTTCTTCAATAAAAAATAATGTTTTGTTGATTTTCCATGGGATTTGTGGAGCATTTTGCTGTTTTTCATCTCTATTGATAGGATTTACTTGAAATTTTCAAGTGTTTTCTATCAAATTGGTATCAGAGCGCTTTCATGGGAAGAAAAATAAGATATCTTCGTTGTTTTTGCAATTAGAGTCTTGATCTAATTAATGACAACAAAGAAGATGGAGGTGCTGGAAGGCGAGATGGAGCAAATCAAAACTAGCATGGAGAAGTTCTCTACAAAGAAAGAAAGATTTTCATATATGGAAAACCGATTTAGAAGGGTGGAGGAGATATTAAGAAGGCTCTTGGAGATGCAAACAAAAACTTCAATAGTTGTTTCGATGGCTAAGCCTAACCAAGATTTGATCGGGATTCCCTTAGCCGAAGTGAAGCAGGAGGAGTTTGACGAGGGGAGTTCCTTTCACCAAGAACCACCTCCCGTGTCTCTGATAAAGAGTGGATCAAGGTCTATGGATGAGGGGACAATAAAGATGAAATTTTTTGGTGGAGGCGGTAGGGCGGCCAACCACTATGAGAGGTATTTTGGGCAAGGGGAGCCACTCATCGGAGAAGGATGGGGTAAAGAGCCATCTCCTAGGGCTCCGAAAAGGGGTGGAATAGGGTTATCAGATGGGGGGACAACAAGAAGGGCATTTCGTTGTGAAGGTGGTGGGGGTGGCCGACTCCTATGGGAGGTCTTTTGGGCAAGGGAAGAGGACGACCAAAGTAGGGGGATGGGCCAAACCATGGGGATCAGGTCATGTGAGGCGAAGGGAAGGAAGTTGGGATTCCCACCCACGATACATGAGAGAAATATGGAGGAATATTACAACCGCTATGCTGGAGAAGGAAGAAGCTATTGGGGTGGTAGTGATCCTAGGGTGAGGAAGTTGGGGATGCTAGTATTTAAAAGGTAGGATGCCTATGGATGGGTGTAATGGGTGGAGATGTATTTCATGGTGAATGGGTTGACTGAGGAGGTGAAGTTTACGGTTGCATGACTATGTCTACAGAGGAAAGCTTTAGCTTGGTTTCAGTTGACGATAGCATGGCCACTAACAAAGCAGCTGAACAAAACTATCAACAGCATTCCATCCTTCCACCTTGAGGACAAGGTGGATATTTGAAAGGGGAGTATTGTTAGACCAGTCTAATTTTAATTAGGGGATTCAATTAAATATTGCTTTGGGAGGGAACAACTCAATTAAATATTGCTTTGGGATGGACTCAATTAAATAATGCTTTTGGAAGGAACAACTCAATTAAATATTGTTTTGGGAGGGAATAACTCAATTAAATATTGCTTTGGGAGGGACTCAATTAAATATTGCTTTGGGAGGGAAAAACTCAATTAAATATTACTTTGGGAGGGAAAATTTGAATTAGGGGTTGTTTAGGAATTTTGTAATCTTCTTTGTTTTAAATAATTTCTCTTGTAAGAGTTAGGGTTTCATCTTGAATTTGACTAAAATTTGAGATCTCTTAGGTTTAGATTTTTTTTGGGCTCTAGCAACATCTAGAGATTTGGGAGAGATAGATCCTCCTCTCGAATAGAGGATCAATTGTATCTTGCTTTATTTCTTCCGTTAATTTGATTTCTTCAATAAAAATTTCTGTTTTGTTGAATTTTCATGAGATTTGTGGAGCATTTTGCTGTATTTCATCTCTATTGATAAGATTTACTTGAAATCTTCAAGTGTTTCCTATCATTAGACTTCTCCACATTAATGAACAACATGATTTTTCAGTAATATTGGACAGTTTAGATTGTATGTCCTGAAAGTAGAAAAATTATCCTACCGGGTGGACTAGGCAATACACGGGACGTATTGGACCACCTACAATTATTTTCGAAGCTGTAGCATATTATGATCTTTCGATATGGCATGCTTACTTCAGTATACCATGAACCAATAATGATATAAACATGTTGGAGCCTTCCCACCTATTCTCCAATCTATCTCAAAGTATATCTCATCCCTGTCGTTACGTTATTTAAGGAAAAGAATATAACATGGGTTATTATTTGGTTGATAATATATATCTAAAATAGTCCACCATTGCGCAAACTATTTAAGAGCCACGTACTCCAAAGAAATAATATTTTGCAATAAAATAGGAAGCATGTAGAAAAGATGTAGAATATGTTTTTGGAGCTCTCCAATCTCGTTTTGTAATTGTGGCAGGATCGGTGCATTTTTGGAGCAAAGAAGTGCTACATGATATAATGACTATATGCATAATTTTGCATAACATGATAATCGAAGATGAACGCAATCTTAATGGACATATATATATAAGTAGGTCCAATTAAAATATGAGAGAATATACATAGAATATTATTTTTTTGGTGCTAGAAAATGTAGTTCGATTGGAGACGAGTTACTGCATTTTGGAGAGAAAAATGACTTTTTTTGGTTGGAGATGGCCTTAGAACAAGGCTTTCAATAGATACATAATTGAAAATATTATCAAATATGTCTATCACTGTTTTCCCTTCAATTTTTTTTTTACTATCACTGCTTTTCCTCATGAACAAAGCTACATGGACAGAAGGGACTTGTTTCCAAAATTGATATCTAATGTGAAATATATTTTCATATTTAATGTGCAATTGTATGGAAAGAAACATCCAATTCAGTATACTAAGTGTTACTGCTTTCAATGATGAGTTATGCTCAATGAATACTTTAATTTATTCATCAATAAGAAGAGCATCTGCTCAGATAATAGGATACGCCCATGAAATAATTTCTTGATGGAATATACGAGAGAATTGAAAACTTTTCAGCATAAATTTATAATCTTTAACTTACCTTGGGTCCAATTAATCTGTCAGCAAGTATGGATGTTAGCAAGACCAGCAAAAGCAAAAATCCAATGCCTAAGGCAGAAGCTTTTAACCAGTTCCTCTGCTCTGAATAGGAAGTTCCAATAAAAAAACAAGGAAGCTTGTTTCTGTCGTGAGCTGTATAATACAACAATGCCAGGAACCCAGCCAATTCTGTTCCCTGCAATGTAAGTGCTGATGCAGCCTGCAACAGATAAATTTAGGCTTGATAAGTTTTGTTTTGGACTTTATTTTTGAGCCATTAGCAGTATAAAATATTATTAAAATCGTTAGGAGAATACAAAATAATTGGTAATGTTCATGCACTTATGTCAATGCATCTGCGCATACTAAAGATTACAGACTTTCCATTTCTTTCAATAATCTTATACAACAAAAAAGAAGGGGGAAAAAAAATAATGAGATTCATGAGGTTGCCAGCTGTGGAACAAACATGAACTTTCCATTTTTTTCAATAATCTTGAAGTAGTACAGCTTTCTACTTACCGTTATTACTGGATCATGGACAGATTGATGCAGTAAGCGAGCAATTGTTGGAAGTATCCCAAAGCTTAAAGGAACGTGCAAAATAAAGAAATAGGCTGCGAACGTACTCCATGTGCTTTCAACTTCCCACGGCACATCTTTGGAAAGCACTGAAAAGCCCTGCCAATAAGATTGAAAATCAATAAACATATCAAAATGACTAAGGGTTTGTTTGTTTTGGATATATTAGTAGTGTAGAGTAAACCAAATAAAGGGATTTTGAAACTTTAGGTGTTTGATTGTAAGAAAAACAAACACAAAGTAATTTATAGAGGGATTTAGAATCTCCTACTCAGTTCATTTTTAGTTTATTTTAAAACTCTAATTCACCCAGATTAGGCAAATTAGAAATATGCCACATCATGAGACCATCACTTGTGACACTACTCGCTCACTCAATCGATTGCTACTTTCCGTTTGCTCAATTCTTTTGCTGTTGCCTCAAGACCCACATGCAACACCTTCCTCCCTCCTTGCAACACTACAGGAACAAATGTTTGCATGAACTTCAGGTCTCGTCGAGCACCCTTCTATTGTGACCTAGTTTCATTCATTTTTAAAATTTCCAACCAAACACAAAAAATGATCTCCTGAATTTATTTCACAATCAACCAAACAACTCTTAGTATTCCATATATATATTCTATTTTATTTCCATTGCATTTAAAGTACCATAACTTTTAAATACTTGCAATCAAATAGGTCCTAATAGAACCTGCATCCACACATGATATGTTTTAGTAGCTTATGTATAAAACATAGCATGATATTGAAAATCATTGAAATTTAAATCCTTAAAAGCTAAAGTTCTAATTGTGGGTAGTAAATTTGGCCTTATATTCGAGCTGCATAAAGCATCTCATATGGGTCTACATTTTGCCCAAAGCACTCAATCATAGGAAGTACAGGTGGTCTCAAGTCTACCAGTTGGGTCTGATGGCTAGGGCTTGTATCCTCTTGAATGGAAAAACTAGAAGGGATGTTTCAAGGACTATGGCAACTCAAAACTCAATGCCTAATAGATCAAGGAGTAGCGTCAAGTGGAGCGAATTGCCTCTCTTGCACTTGACAACCACTATGGCATTAGCCCACCAGCATTTCTCACAAATCATGGTTTAGGGATATGCCTGCCAACTAACCAAATATTGACATGTGGCCATGATTACCAAGTGCATTGATAAAGAACAAGCATAAATATCACGCCTCCTTGTGTCCTTTTGGTCTATCAATTTGTTGCCAAGAAGGAGGTAGAGTAACTAAAATCTTATAAGGAGATACTTCAAAAGAACTTGCAATTCAACAATCTCTTTGTACTCCAAAGCCCAACAATCTCTATAAATACCCCATGCATCGATGAAGAGACTTTTGGCCGCCCAAAAATCTTATAGTTGCTATCAAGATAAAAAGAAAACATAAACTTAGCATCTAGAGCCAAGAACACCTAGTTTAATTAACTAAGTTGAGTCAATAAAAGAAGCCAAATCAACAAAGAACAAGGCAGGTATTATAGATTGAGCTAGCCATTAGTCGGGAGGAGGTTGGCAAATGAGGTGTTTCTCTTAATGTTATTGACAAAAGGGAAAGTGGAAGGGATGACAAGAATTAAGGCCATTTGAAGGCTTCATTCTGAATCCACAACCATCGATTCTAGGTTATCAGCACCCTTTTCATTTCTTTCACACAAAAACTTACGGGCTACTTGGCATCCTATTTTAGGTAAATCTAATTTTGAATCCTACCAACAATTTTGGGGTATTTTCCTACTACTTTGATAGAAATCACATCCAAGATATTCAAATCCCACCTTTTCAAAAGAATTAATGGATTTAAGGATTGTCACTACCATAAATCTTAAATCCTCAAAATTTAACAGTTCTTACTTCTTAGACCAAATAGATTTCAGGTTTTAATCCCCTGTAGATTAAATAATTGTGGATTTATAGGATTTACTTAGAGCCAAACAGCCCCTTAACACAATACCAATCGCACTAACAAACATGCACTTCAACGGAATCGCATATGATAATGGCCCATGTGAAAAATCCATGTTCATTAGAACTACTAAACCTCAAAAAATTACTGTAGGGTTCAGATAAGCACCTCGAGGTGGCCTTTGTCGCCATCTTTGGGAACGCAACAGATCCTGAAGGGATCCCCTCTTTTCCTCCATCCACACTTGGAAAAATATATGAATTTTTCCGCGATGCATGCTGCCGGAGCAGCGCCGAACCCGGCGAGAAGGATCGGACGGGCCGCCGTAAGGACCATATCTTGGTCCTGATTTAGCTTACTGCCTTTCTGCGTTTTCCCTCCCACTAGATTACGTAAATTATATACAATTCTTCTGAGGCCATTTAAGTAATTATCGTACTGAAGCATGTCATAATGTGATTTTTTTCTTTGATCCGGTCGGACTAGCAATATCAAATAATAACGAGGAATACCATCACGTGAAGATTCAATACCGAGTTATACCGAGCTATATCGAGCAATATCGAGTTATACAAAAGTTGTACCGAGTTTTTCCTAGCAAAAACTCGGTACAACTCGGTATTGCTCAGTATAGCTCGGTATAACTCGGTATTAGTCTTCACAGAGCGGTATTCCTCGTTATTATCAAATAATACCTAGCAATGCCGAGCAAATACCGAGTTTTTTGGCTGGATTTTGCCTCCGACTGGACGTTCCTCTATGCCCTTACACCGGACCTAATGAAAGTTCTTGTTTAGGGGACGCTAGGCTGCATAACTAATGAGGCTGCCAGCAACTAGCCTCATAGATGCAAGACTTGTAGTTATTTTTTCTTTACTTAAGGGATCGCGTCGCTAGAGAGGCTAATCGAATATGGGTTGAGCAAATCCCAAATATGCTAGCCCACCAACCCAGTAGCCCGATAGAATGTCATAATGTGATTAGATAAATTAATTAAATTTACTGGAGAACATGATTATTTTTTAGAAACTACAAATTTTTATAAAATTAATTGTAAATTTACTATAAAGAAAATAATTTTATTATTATAATTGTAGGAAATAGCTTTCATCATAAATTTATTTTAAAAATTATGAAAAAATAGCAAGATAGCATCAGCCAACTAAAATTATCTTTTTTATCTAAAAAAATAAAATAGCTAGAAAGCTGTCTCAAACAAACCCATAATTTGTTAAGTAGTTGTTGCTTGCTAGTATTTAAGATTTTAGCATATTTTAAATATAATATAACTTGAATGTCAAGGTCGTGATCAAGGTCACATGATGTAGGAACACTAGACATATGATGATAACACTAAACATATAATGTATATTAGATAATACTGGTTGAACAATGATGGTCGGACGAATATACTTAAATAATGATGATTGTACGATAATGATCTGATCATAATAGTCGAATGATAGGGAGTTGTCTACAGTAGTTGGGGTGCGGTGGTCAAATGATGATTGTTGGGCAACGGTGGTCAGATGATGAGAGCAATTGACGAAAATCATTAGCATGGATTTTCAGGTAGAGCTCTAGAGTTCTTTTAATCTCCAAGCTCTCTTTCCCATCCCAAATCTTGATGTATTTCATGTGAAGAATGTGGGTCTAACTGTAACATTTTGGCAATTTAGCGAAAATTTTTTAAAGCTCAATAAGACGACTTATATTGAATCATTTGATTATAAATTATTTATTTAGCATTTAAGTGCCTTACATACTTAGACTGATCAAGGCTTCAATTAATATGTGAAGTTTAAATCATGCTTGGTGCTTCATATCGATTTGGGTTCATTTGGTTTTAAATTGGATTGTTTTTAGCGATGTTGGGTTCATCTTATTGAGATGTTTAATTTTATTATAAATTTGTTGAAATTGGGGATGAGATATTTCTTAATTTAATTTCACAAATATCTAATACAAACTAATACATCGAGATTCTTAATGATCAAGCGAAAATTTTGAAGATATATCATTTGCACCTATTTTTAGATGTTAAAACTTTATGTTGATTGAAAAAATATATATTGAGTCTTAAAAAAAAAAAACAGTTATTGTTAGAAAAATTACAAGGCCCGAATGCTACCTATCTATATCACTACAGAAAAATGTGCGATTTCAGACGGCAAAATACGTCAAAAATCTAAACATTTTGTTCAAATTTACCATTTCTAGCAAATATTTGGCAAAATAATTTTCATCGGTAATGCAAATCTAAAAATGATTTCCAATAAAATAAAATTCTTCCGACAAAATTTCTGACGAAAAATTAATCTTTTAATTGATGAATAAAAATTTCAAATTTTTTGAAAAATAAAGAAAAATTTTAGCCGGAAATTTCCATCGGAAATCTATAGCAAAAAAAAAATCCAAAAATATTACAAAGGTACTAATTCATTAAGCTAGTGCCGTGGAATAACATACAAGGCATGCATTTAGCTTTCTAGGACATTGTATGAAAAAGGTCAAGAAAGAATCAAATTCTGAATTGAAAAGTAATAGCATAAGATAATTAACAGCTAATAATAATAATTTATTGAATAATACACCGCGAAGAATGAAAAAAGTAGACATGTCAATATTGGACCTGATTTGAAAATCCGACCTGAAATCGACTAGAAAATTTTGGGTTTGGGTTTACCCGAACCCGAAGCGGGTCGGGTTCGGGTTCGAAAAACTGACCCGTTTGCAAAATCAGTTCGGGTTGACCCGGAAACCCTTGAATGACCGAAATTGACCCGGAATAACATATAAACCCGGCTGCCCCGCGACCGCCTGCCCGACTGCGTCGCATCGCGTCGCGAGGCCAGCGTTGCGTCGCGTTTGGCGTCAGTTCCGTGTCCCACTGTCCCGCATCAATTTCCCCCATGATTGTTAGATCAAGTAGGAAACCCCTTAAACTGCACGCCGTCAAACATGTTGTAGAAATATGGGGATATGCTCAAACCCTTTAATCTCTAAAAATAATTGTAACTCATTTTTAATAAAATATAGCGAGACGAAATCTTAAAAAAAAAAAATTGATTGAAGAGATGAAGTTTTACCTTTCAAATCTCGAAGAAATGGTGCTAAACAGTTTAGAAATGACCTTGATTGGTGCTGGAAGTTAGAGAGGGTGAGAGAGCTATTTGGGAAAGAAAAAATGGTGTTATAGGAGGCGGTCTTGGGACGAAATAGGGCATTTCTGAATGTATTTTTGACCAATTTTGTTGTCAGAAATTAAATAACATTTCTGCCAAAAAAGATAGTAGAAAATTTTGCTAGAATAATTAATTACCGATAGAATTTTCATGAAAATTTATTGGGAAAATTTTCTCTATCAATACATATATTTCCTGTAGTGTATGTCGATGTGGACATTCACCTCGACACGTAAACTAAGTAAAATATTCTTATTTATAATTTAACCTTCTTTGAAACTAGCATATTGATTAGTACAACAAATTTTCAAAATTTTTTGCTCTAAATTGTTCAAAATTTCTCAAATTTTATCGCAGTAACTTTAACGGTTTCGAAAATGCTACAATTGAGGCCTAAATATAGAAATCCCACAATTCTTAATAATGCCAAAATAGGCTTGTTCGGGCCTTAAAACTAGAATGTGCTGGGATATTTAGCGAGCTTGTCGTTCGCAACCAACAAGCATCGGTGCTCACCTTCTTTAAGAATAGTTTCAATTTTTTAAAAATAGTTTAGCTTCTTTTTTAAATATTTTTTTTTTTAGAAATGATGCAATTTTTATTTTATTATTTTTTTGTTCTTAAACCTTTGTAAAATTTCTTGTTGAAATGTTTTAAATATTTTTATTAATTAAAAAATCATTTAAGCTCCAAAAAATTGCAAAAAAATTCCTTAAAATTTCAAAAGTTTCTAAGAAAATGTGTAAATGTTTTTCTCTGCTTTAAATATAAATAACTCCATGGGAGAGCGGAAAACACACTTCTCTCAATCTCTTCTTATTAGGACTGTAATGCATTTTGTTAAAAGAAATTGAACATTACCCAATGTAAGTGCATCTCTACCAAGAGTACCAATCTATCCTTTAAAGGAGAAGTCATGGGAAGAATTTATATATCTCAATTTTTCTTTTGTAATTTTGAGTTCCATCAATTGAAAGATTAACATTATCATGTTTAGGGAAATTGTAATTCCCTCATTCACTTTAATACTTCTCTATAAAGTCTAATGAATCACCCTTCATAGACTTTGTTTTGGGAAATATCCACATCTCTCAATTTCTTCTTTAAAAGTTTCAGTTTCATCTCTTAAAAAAAGTTAAATGATGTATTATGCAAGTGGATTATAATCCTCCTTGCAGGCTCTAGTGAGTCTCTACCAAGAGCAATGAGTTTTCCTTTGTTTAATATACAAGCTTGAGTGATGTTCATAATTAAATAAAGAACTCTCCATTTTTATATAAGGATTTGTGATGGATTGCATCATAGAGAAGGCTAATTAAGTCTCATATATGTCTATAAGACATATTTGAAACCTTCAAATATTGCTAAAAATTCAATAGGTTGTAGTTAAATATTTGATTTAACAACAAAACAACGCCCTTGAGTTAGAATATAGTGACTTTGATCCCTTAGTTGACAAGGGTTCTTTTTGAGGCTTATATATTTTGGTGTTTTTGGATGAATGGAAATATTATACCTTCTAAGGCTTAAGCCATTTGAGATTCTTGAATAAATAGAGAAACCTACAATAAGAGTCAATATATATTCTTGATATGAATATAGATTGTGTACCTTATGAGGTTTTTAAAGAGCTAAAAGAAATTTAAATATATTATGAGGATTTTATCCTTCTATGATTTTTGGAGAACCAAAGATATATATATATAATAGTATTTAAGCTTTTTGAATCATCATAATATCCTTTCTAATAATTTTAGCTGTTTAAGATTTTTTTGAAAATAAAAAAATGTACCTTATGAGGCTCTTTTAGCTTCTACAATTTTTAAATAATGAAATAAATATATATCTTTTGAGGCTTTTAGCTTTATGAGATTTTTGGAGAACTAAAAAAACCTATAACATCTAAGGCTTTTAGCCTTGGAAGGGTTTGTGAGAATCATAGTAACTGTACCTTATTGAGGTGTTTATAATTACAAGATTTTTAATATGCTTATATATTTTTAAAGCTTGTGCTTTTAAGATTTTAAGATGCAGAGATTTCATCAATCGCTTGCTCTCATAGGGTTCTTCTAATTAGAATCTTGTCAACTACTAGCTTTCCATTAAAGATACTTTATGGTCGTGACTTCAAAGGGTTATGAGTGAAGACCCTATCTACTATATGCTATCATAATATCTTTTTAGTAAGG